GTCGGTTAACGAAATATCACAGTCAATATTTAATGTATACTAGTAGCCGAAACCCGTGAATCGCCTTTCATTAGGTTTTAGTGGTTTAAAAACTAACCGATATTAAGCATGACGGCTATTTTGTTCATACTTGGCAGCTGTCGTTTGGTTGAGCTAGTTTATCAGCCACCAGCACAGCAATGGATACGAGGGTTTCATTAATACAAGCATAAAATGAATAGAAAATATGAACACTGCTCAAGTAGGCAGTTATTTCCGGGTGCGACCGATGTTGTTGACAGAGAATATTCTCAGCTTTGTATGCACAAACTTGTGGTTATGTTCCACAGTTGGGTAGTACCTGCGTCTCGAATATACAGGACGTCCCAAAAAATCTGTATACAGATTTTTTGGGACATCCTGTATATTTAAAAAAGTAGGCCGATGCTTTGAGGACCTTCCAATTTAAAAACCTGCACCTGTTCTGAGGCTAAAGAATCCCATAGGAAGCCCTTTATTGGCTAAAGTTGAAAATCAGCTATCTGGCATTTCTGTCGCAGTGAAAAGTTTATTCTTTCAGGGCAGCCGTTTTTTTTTCTAAAGAAGCCGATAATAACTTGCAGTATTTGTTAGTCTGAGATTAAAACCAGTTGAGTTACTTGACCTACTGACCAAAACATATTATCATTGACCAGTGTATATCCCGAATGGCTTCTTACGCAAACTCGCTCCCCCCCCTATAACTTATTTTTCAAGACCTTTCAAAAAAGGAAACTGTCCAGCCCAGTTCCACCTAAAAAGGCGAATACCCACTCCCCTCCGACACATTACACAGTATTCTACCCAACATAAATGCTGTCCTTAGCATAAACAATAGCACGCTATAAATGCGAACCTCTTTTACGACGAGTCCTCATTTTGAACCCATTAAATGCATATACACCCAGCTTTTCTCTTTTGGAAGCGGGTATACGCTTCCCCCATAGTATGAGTAAGAATGTACTAAATTTCAGGATGAGTACCTATTATTGTGTCCTAACACGATCCATAACCCCAACCTTATTCCTAACCCTAGCATTGACCCTGACATTGCCATAAACCCAACTCTAACCTGAATACAAGTCATAACCCTGACTCTAACCTCCTCGAAGTTAAGAGCAAAGCCACGTATCTTGCTGGGTGTTCCTATTCCCCCGTTCCCTACCTGTTTTATTCTTTTTAAGGTGCCACTGCAAGTTTCAATAGTAACCAATTCAAAGAAGGCTTATCAGACATTTGAAACTTCAATCAGCCTACTTCGAAAAATAAGCTCGGAGCAAGTATTAGAATAAATTAAAATATGGAACCTTCAATGCATGGCCGTGATAAACCCAGATGCGAAAAAGGACTTTTGGAAGGAAACCAACTCAGCGAGGAAATTCCTGCACGAAATTCATGCAGACCAATTTTTTGTAACTTACAGTGGGTAGCACAGTTCTGTGATTTCATCCTTTGGTGTCACGTCATCTTCGGTCATGTCCTCTTCGCGTACGGTTGGTTGGCCAAAGCGCTCCACAACTTTTGCCCGTTCTTCCGTTTTCATGACATAGTCAATGACTTCTTCACCGACAGACTCTTTGGCCGTAACCAGGCTCCAGGGGTAAGATTCACCGGCCATGATTTCGTGGTTCTACCCCTCTGAGAGCCCAGAACTCCACGTCTTGTGAGGACACGCTCGAGGCCAGGTGGAGCGTGGCCACACAATCGATGAATAGTCAAAATGCCCACGTGGATTTTTGTATGGAGCACG